TTTGTCAAAAGTAATTATTAAATTGTTACTATTTGTTACATGAACTAATATTAAATTCTAAATATCATTTTAAGGGTCATTATTATTGCAGGTGTTTTTAATATTATTTTATCGTCATATTTTCATTCTGTAACAACGTCCTAGCTTGGGAATTGTAACCCAAGTACCAGTAAAGTTGGAAAATAAAACCATGGCGGTAGATATGGAAGTAATCGATACAACAGGATATGCGCTAGTCCTAGGCACGGACTGGTTGAGGAAAGCGAAGGCCATTATCGATTACCAAGAATGTAAGCTGATACTAAAGGATGACGAGGGGATAGTGGAAGTCCCTTGCAGAAATACGAACCCGATATCGACGAATGGCAACGAAGATGAGGACAGCGAAGACGAAAGTGAAGACACCGATTCGGACGAAGAAAGCGACATGACGGATTTTGCAGAACTAACCTACGAATTATCACAGCGAGAGGCCGATACGATATACAAGATCACTTCTGAGGGGATACGCACAAGCTCCAAACTCATCGACTGGGAAACACACGATTACCTAACATATTGTTTCGATGGCGTCAGAGGGAAAAAGGATAGATGTGGAGTGATGGGACCAAAGACATACTGCTGGTGCGACCGATACCTAGAAGCGAAAGAAGACAGGTGTGAGATATGCGAAGAACGACTGCAAGACTGGGAAGCCACATCTGTGCTCCCAAGGGACGAAATTCGTGATATCCGTGCTAACCTGGCACATGGAGGCATGGAGATACTTAAAGAAAATGAACACAAGCAGCAAGTCAACAAGCTTATTCAAGAATTCCCGGAGCTGATGGCGAACGACATATCGTAACTCAGGAGAACCAATCTATATCAACACACCATAGACACCAGCGAGGCGAAACCTATAAAACTACATCCGTATCGTACCTCCCCGCGACACTTGAAATTCTTGAAGGAGGAAATGGCCCAAATGTTAGACAACGAATTGATCCAGAAGTCTTTTAGCTCATAGTCCGCATCCACGGTGGTAGTAAACAAGAAAAACAGGAAATACAGGCTTTGCGTCGACTACAGAAAGTTGAATACAGCGACGAAGCCAGATGCATACCCTATGCCGCGAATAGCCGATATGCTAGATGCCCTAGGACACTCCGCTTATTTCTCAACGTTAGATCTGGCATCGGAATTCTGGCAGGTGGAGGTAGTACCTAAGGACAGAGAAAAGACCACCTTCGTCACACCTTGCAACATATACGAATTTGTCGTGATGTCCTTTGGCCTGATCAATGCTTCCGCGACGTTTCAGCGGGTAATGGACAGAGCTCTGCACAAGGTCCTCTGGAAATTCATACTTGTATACATCAACGACATCATTATCTTTTCGAAGACTCATGAAGAACACGTGGAACACCTTAAGAACATTTTTATGCTTCTGGTAAAAGCGGGATTAAAAATAAACCTGGAAAAGTGCGATTTCTTTAAAACAAGGCTTGCATTTTTGGACTACGTAATAATGATTGAAGGAATTTTACCTGATCCGTCGAAAATCGAAAAGGTGCAACTTTACCCAATTCTGCAGGATAAAACTAATGTTCGTGCTTTCCTAGGACTAGCATCCTACTACCGAAGATTCATAAAAAGGTTCACCATGATCGCGAAACCATTACATAACTTGACAAAGAAGGATTTTCCTTTCGAGTGGACACATGAACATCAACTCGCTTTTAATACATTAAAGAAATATTTAACAACTGCGCCAATAATGGTCTACCCCGATTTCATCAAACAATTTATGCTTGCCACTAACGCATCCAACTGGGGTGTTGGAGCTGTACTCTCCCAGGAAGATGATGACAAACGAGAACGCCCGATCGCCTACGCCAGCTGCCTCTTATCCTCCGCCAAACAAAACTATACAGTTGTAGAAAGAGAATGCCTCACCGTAATTTGGTTCGTACAATACTTTAAGCACTATTTACATGGTCCCAAGTTCAACTTATATATCGACAATTTGACACTCACCTGGCTGAAGAATTGACCGCAGCCAAAAAGGAGGGTAGCTCGCTAGATCTTCAAATTATCTGAGTACGACTACGAAATAATCTACAAACAAGGGAGGCTCAACACTAACGCGGACTCCCTCTCCAGATCTACAAACTAGATCCAGAGTAGCCACACACGAAACCACATAACTCAGATAATTTATAAGAAAAGGTAAGCAGAATTCCTAGAATGGACTTAAACACATATAATTAAATAATCGAATACTTAATGGACCACAACTTCCCACCGAATGGAACTAACGAACGACGACGGCAACTACGGCAACAGGCGAATCACTATATGGTACAAGACAATATACTATTTAGGCGTAACTAAAACGGCAATCCTTTACGAGTCATAACAACGGAAAACGTGACAGAGATACTCTATAACATGCATGATGCGCCAAGTGCAGGACACTTCGGCATAAGAGCTACAACCGATAGAACAAGGCAACGATATTTTTGGTCTAGTATGGGGAGAGATATAAGGAACTACGTGGAATCGTGCGATATTTGCCAACGACAAGGAAAAGTTTCACGAAACGAAGAACTGCAACCTATAAAAGTAGGACAAGCGTTTGACAGAATCGGAATCGATATAGTGGGGCCACTAAAGCCAACAGCGACATCAAAGAGATATATAGTAGTAGCAACAGACTACTTCACGAAACGGCTGGAAGCGAAGGCCCTGGAAAAAGCAGATGCAATATCGATCGCCTGGTTCTTATACGAAAAAATTATATGTTGACACGGCTGCCCTAGAGAAATGTTATCAGACAAGGGATCAACATTCGTCAGCCAAATAATTGCGAACTTAACAAGGATAATGGGAACCCAACATAGACTCGCATCGGCGTATCATCCACAAAGCAATGGATTAACAGAGTGGTTTAATCAGACCTTCTGCAATACGTTAACAAAAAGCATACAGGAAACCGATTGCGACTGGGACGTGCTGATACCCCCAGCCCTTTTTGCGTACTGAACAATAAAGAACAGAACCACGAAGTATGAACCTTTCTACTTGCTCTATGGTCGTGCCTTGACTCTACCATTAGAATTGGATGTTGCTACATGGCCAGCTGAGGAACTCGACGAAGAACAGTACGAGGAATTAATCAAGAAGAGCATCAGGAAATTTAATTAGGCGTCGATTTACGGAATCTCACATGACCTCCGGAAATTTCCGCTTGAAAAATTTGATTTTTTAACTTTGGCCGAGATTTAGGCGACAGGGAGCGATTTTCTACTAAGATGTTTCTAAGATAGATCGAAAGCCCTGGTTTTTGGCTACAAGATGATATGTG